CCCCGCCGGGCGGGAAATTCAGCGGGGCTTGGACGAAGGTCCCTTCCCGGGGGTGGGGGCCCAGTTCCGGGGCCGGAGCCCCGTGGGGGGGGGCATCGCCACGGGGCAGGGTCGCCAAGTCGTCGTCCGAAGAGACCGGCGCGTCGAGCGCGACGACCACGGGGACAAGGGCGCTGCTCCCGCGGGGGAGCTCCGCCAGGGCTCATCGCGTCGAAGCCGGCGGACGGCGCACCGACGGCGGGGCGAGAGCGGGCGGGCGGGCGGGCCGGCGCGAGCGGCTCTGTGAGCGGCGGGGTGAGCTCGTCGGTAATCTGCTCGTCGGCCGTCTGGCCGCCCGCCTCGCCGGAGAGCTGGAGCAGCTCGGCCAGCAGCTCGTCGCCCGCGCCTCGGCCCGGACGGCTCTGGCTCGCTCGGCCTACCTCCGGGCCGGCATCGCCCGGTGCAGCCAGCTCCGCGCGCTCGCCTCGCTGCAAGAGGGGCGGGCCGCCGAATGCCAAACCGCCAGCCTCTGCGCCGCCGGCGCGCAGCAGCTCCTCCATCGCCGCGGCGAGGTCGTCGTCTACGATGGCCTCGCCTGGCGGCGCCCCCTCTCCGGCGTCATCTCCGCCCTCGCCGCCCCCGCCGCCCGCGCTACCCTCGCCGACGGCGTCCGTCAGCTCTGCGAGAAGCGACTGAATGGGCAGATCAGCCCGGGAGGGCAGCAGCTCCCCCTCGCTCTGGGGGGCCGCCGCCCCTTGACCCTCCTCCTCTCCTTCCCCCGGCAGCTCTCTCCTCAAGCGCGCGAGCGGCTCCAGCCCAGCCATCTCCGACCCGGCTGTCTCCAACCCTGCTGCCGCGAGCAGCTGGCCCCAGAGCACGTCGTCGAGGCCGACGCTGTCCAGCCCGGCGAGCAACGCGTCCTCGTCCTCCGCCTCCTCCTCCTCCAGGCCCTCGTACCCTGAGGCGGCCGCCGGCGTGAAGAGCTCGGCTCGCGGCGTCGGCCGCCGCCGCTGTCTCGGCTCGCGCCGCCGCCCCTCCTCGCCCTCCGTCTCGTACTCGTCCGACTGCAGCACAAGCCGCAGCGCCGCGGCCAGCTCCTCCTCGCTCTCCTCCTCGCCGCGGGTGGTGAAATCCGCGTCGAAGGCTGCGTCCGCCGCGCGTCGGCTCCGGCGCGCTACGCGGCGGCGGCCGCCGCCTCTCGCACCGTTGCCGCCGCCACTGTCGCTGCCGCCGCCGCCGCCGCCGCTGCTGCTGCCGCCGCCTTCGCCCCAAGCGCCAGCGGCCGCCAGCAGCCCCTCCGCCGTCTCATCCTCGGGGCCTAGAGCGCCCCGCGCCAGGCGCCGGTGGAGGTCACGCTGTACCGCATGGTCCGTGGGAAGGTTGTCGAGCAGCTGCAGCCCCGCCGCCTCGTCGCCGACGCCGCCAAAGCCGGCGGCGACCTCGCTCAGCGGCGGAGGCTCGCCGGCGCGCGCCCACCAGCCAGCGGTGGCGTCGGGCAGAGCGGCTGCCCGAGCGGTGAGGTTGGCCGTTGCGTTATTTCGATCCACCACACGCCGAGCCCTGGCAGCTACGGGCTGCGCCTCGCTGACGGCGGGAAGCGGCTGACGAGGCGCCTGCTTCTCGAGGCTCGCGGCGCGGACCACCGGCAGCCGCGACGCGGCACGCTCCGGCGCCGCGCGGCCGAGCGCCGCCAGTGCGACGAGCCAGCCAAAGCGGACCATTATCAGGGCCGGGCTGACATTTTGCTGCGTCGGCGTGCACTTTGCGGCGTCGAATCGTAACTGTTGGCGTGACCTGTCAGAAAGGAGAATGCACAGTGCGACATGTCGCGTCATCATCTCTCCAGCGTCCACCCATACCGCGTTGGTGTCCAGTCCGAGCCTGGCTGTTCTTCACCTTTCTACCTAACCGAACCTCGGGGCGCCGCACCCGGGGCACACACGGCCGCGTCGGGGGGGGGGGGAGAGAGAGAGAGAGAGAGAGAGAGAGAAACCGCCAATGGCCGTTATCCGTTAGTGCGGACGTCGCCGCGGCTCGCCTCTGCCGCGGCGGCTGCTGCGCGCACGCGGCGGCGCCGCTCTCTCGCGAGACGGCTGGCGACGCGGCTCGCCGCCGACGTACGGTGCGCTCGTCCGACGGTCCGCAGCGTGGCGTGCGCGGCGCTGAGCGCCGCTCTGCGAGCGCCTCTGCGCCTGCACTGCCTGTCTCTGTTGCTGTTGGTGGTGGTGGTGCTGCTGCTGCCGGTGCCGATGCTGCTGCTGGGGCGGCGCGGCTGTGCGACTGGGCTCGACGCGCGCGTCGCGAGTGTCTGACGCGGCGGGCGGCGTCGGGCAGGTGCGCTTCTCTCTCGGGTGGTGGTGGTGGTGGTGCTGCTGCTGCTGGTGGTGCAGATGCTGATGCTGGTGCGGCGCGGCTCTCCGACGCGACTCGATGCGCGCGTCGCGGCTATCCGACGCGGCGGGCGGCGTCGCGGGCGG